CAAAAATTAGCCAGACATGGTGGCGGGCGCCTGTAATCCCAGCTACTCGGGAGGCCGCCATTGAACTCCAACCTGGATGACAGAGCAAGACTCTGTCTCAAAAAAAGAAAATACTCCTTTTTTCAATTACGTATTTGTGTGAGCCTGGATTTTCTTCTTGTACTTAAACCAAACAAGGTATTATAACAGATTGAGTGCAGAAGCAGATAAAAGAATCCAGCTGTCTTCTGTTAAATCAGTCATTAAAGAGAGAGTTGCAAAAACGTAAAACAATGCTTACACTTATCACTAACATGGGGAGAAATATAATTTTCATTTATATTATGTGTAATGGGTTTGCAGTTTAACCTAACATGTTGGGTTAATGTGTAAGGAATTTGCAGTTGTTTTGCTTGTTTTTGTTTTTGAGACAGTCGCACTCTTGTTGCCCAGGCTGGAGTGCCATGGTGCAATCTGCTCACTGCAACCTCTGCCTCCTGGGTTCAAGCCATTCTCCTGCCTCAGCCTCCCGAGTAGCTGGTATCACAGGCACGTGCCATCATGCCTGGCTAATTTTTGTAGAGATAGGGTTTCATCATGTTGGCCAGGCTAGTCTCGAACTTCTGACCTCAGGTGATCCACCTACCTCAGCCTCCCAAAGTGCTGGGATTACAGGTGTGAGCCACTGCACCCAGCTGTAGTTATTTTTAATGAAGATTTTCTAAGTTTATTATTTCTTTTCTTACTGAGATGGAGCCTTACTTTGTCACCCACGCTATAGTACAGCGGCATCCTCTGGGCTCACTGTAACCTCCACGTCCTGGGTTCAATGGATTCTCCTGCCTCAGCCACCCGAGTAACTGGGATTACAGGCGTGCTTCACCACGCCCCACTAATTTTTGTATCTTTGGTAGAGATGGGTTTCACCATGTTGGCCAGGCTGATCTTACACTCCTGACCTCAAAGTGATCTGCCTGCCTCAGCCTCACAAAGTGCTGGGATTACAGGCGTGAGCCGTCGCGCCCACACCGAGTTACAATTTCTAATACAACAAATATCAATAAGTATATCCTGTGGTGTGCTGGAGGCAGCCTATACTGATTCATGAGAGCTGGTTGTTAACGTTATTTTTGCAAGCTGGTTATTAAAAAGGCATTCTTTTAAAATAATATAAAAACTCAGTTTTTAAAAATTAGAAAGTGATAAATACACAAGCCTCATCACCTTCTAATTATTTTAGCATATTGTACTACTTTGGTGCTCTTAAGGGTATTACTGATTTTGTATCTCTATAATAGAAATACTATAAAATGGTATGCTATTGCATGCATCTCTTCCCAGCTTCATGTTCAGTTAGTTCACATTGGAGTGTGGTCCTGGTAGGACTAAGAGGGTAAAGAGGTCCTTCAATCAAAAAGTTTAAGGATAGCTATGCCTCATATGTGGTTTTGCCTGAAATTTTACACTGTACAGCTGTTATTTTTGTAATTAAAAAAACTTAAAAAATATATAATTAGGCTTAGGGCTAACTTCATAGAATGTTTCAGAGTTTCTCTATTCTATTAATATGTGCCAAAATACAAAATAGAAATCACTTTAGGTTGCTTGTATTTTTGGCCTTTCCAGTCTCAAATTTCCAAACAACTTTTAAGTATGGAGTTGAAGGTTGTATGACAAAGATAGGACCATGATAATATAATATAAAATATTTACCTAGCTGTGAGCTATAATCTTAATAGACTAAAGCCAGGAGCTTATTATTTAGGCCAAGAAAGACTGTTTTGTTTTTAACTGTGCATTGATGAAATAAGGAAAGAACCTAGTAGAGATACCTGGACTGGTTTAAAGTTTTATTGACTTCATTAGGATTAAGTCCCAGCTTCCTGAATATGTTAAAGGGTTGTAGTTAGAGGACTTCCTTTAAAGAAATGGTGTCTGGATAGTTAAGTAAGCCCAAAAGAAGTCTATAAAGACAAACTATTAATAGTGGCTAAATGCTGATTTAGACTGACCAACATGTACCTTGTTGGCGTATAACCAAAAGTAGGTAATCACACTAAAGCTTTAATGATTCTTGGCATATTCAAATGGAGTGATTGGTGTGGGGATAGAATCAGTCTATCACATAAGTACCTCCAGTATGAGTCTTCTTTTGCCATGTGGTAGTCAGCCCCTCTCAAAATCCTTTGACCGTCCTCCGTTCCAAACTATGATAAACTATTTGTAGTTCTTCAAATATGCATTTTAAATCTTGGTAGCTAGGGCACAGTTGCCTTCCAAAAATGTGACAGTTAACACTCCCACCAATAGCAACATGAATGTGCTCGTCCCCAACTGCTTGCCAATGCTGCGTGTTATCACTGTAACATAAATAGAGTATATTTAGCATGTTTTGTGTGCCGAACCAAAGTTGACATACTAACTTATATGTGGTTGTGCAAAAACCAGTATGCAGTTGAGAACTGATTGATGAGATAAAGTTCTGCTTTTCTTTACTGTCATTATTTTGTTTTCTTTCTAGGTACTTTTAAACTAGTAATAGAATTTTCTGAAGAATATCCAAATAAACCACCAACTGTTAGGTTTTTATCCAAAATGTTTCATCCAAATGGTAAGTAGCATTTTTTAGATTTTGCAGATCATAGTGGGGGAAAGAATTTTGCTTACGTCCTTTTAGCTCTTGCCTCTTACTTTTCACTAGTAGGGCTCACTCGTAGGTGTTGCTTCTGTGTCCCTGTTAGCCATGCTTTTGTTGTGGATTTTTGGTCTGTTTCTTGTTTCTTCAGAGACAGGGTTACATTCTGTCATCCCTGATGGAGTGCAGTGGTGTGATCACAGCTGTTACTCAAACTCCTGGGTTCAAGTAATCCTCCTGCCGTAGACTCCTAAGTAGCTAGGATGACAGGCGTGGACCACCATTACCAGATAATTTTTTTTTCTTTTTCTGTTTTGTAGACACAAAGTCTTTGTGCTGCCCAGGCTGGTCCTTGAACTCCTAGCCTCAAGCAGTCCTCCCACTTTGGTCTCCCAAAGCAGTGGGATTTCAGGAATGGGCTGCCTTTTCTAGCCTTTGTTTCTGTAGTAGAATCTTATGAAGCTTTCAAATTTGACGTCAAGTTGTTTTAATAACTCGTGAATTAAAAGTAATATGTGGTTGGGCATGGAGACTCATACCTGTAATCTCAGCACTTCAGGAGGCCAAGGTGGGCAGATCACCTGAGGTCAGGAATTTGAGACCAGCCTGGCCAACATGGTGAAACTCCATCTCTACTACAGATACAAAAATTAGCCAGGTGTGGTGATGGGCACCTTTAATCTCAATTACCCAGGAGGCTTGAAGCAGGAGAATCACTTGAGGCGGAGGTTGCATTGAGCTGAGATCACAACACTGCACTTCAGCCTGAGTGACAAAGCAAGAGCCTGTCTCAAAAAGGAAAAAAAAAGGTAATATGTAAGCCAGGCACAGTGGTCAGTCCCAGCTACTCTGGAGGCTAAGGCAGGAGGGTGGCTTCAGGCTAGGAGTTGGAGGCCAGCCTAGGTAACAAAGCAAGATTCTGTTGCCACTAAAATAAATAAAAGTATTACCTATTTATTTGTAGAACTGTGAAAAATAACAACAAAAAAATCTGTTGACTGCAATTTAGCTTTTCAAAAATATAATTTTGGCCAGGCAAGGTGGCTCATACCTATAATCCCAGCACTTTTGGAGGCCAAGGTGGGAGGGTTGCTTTAGCCCAGGAGTTAGAGACCAGCCTGGGCAACATAGTGAGATCCCATCCCTATAAAAATTTTTAAAAATAACAGGGCACGGTAGCATACACCTGTAGTCTCAGCTCCTCTTGGAGGCCGAAGTGAGAGGATCACTTCAGTCCAGGAGGTCAAGGCCACAGTAAGCCATGACTGTGCCACTGCACTCTAGCCTGGGCAACAGAGCAAGATCCTACCTCAAAAAAAAAAAGTACAGTTTTGCTTATACAAAATTGGAGTCAGTGGCCACGCACAGTGGCTCATGCCTATAATTCTAGCAATTTGGGAGACTGAGGTGGGTGAATTGCTTGATCCCAGGAGTTCTAGACTAGCTTAGGCAACATAGTAAAACCCCATCCCTACAAAACAAATGCAAAAATTAGTTGGGCACAGTGGTGCATACCTGTATTCTCAGCTACTACGGAGGCTGAGGTGGGAGAATTGCTAGAGCCTGGAAGGTGGAGGCTGTAGTGAGCCATGATTGCACCACTGCACTCCTGCCTGAGTGACAAAGCAAGACCCTGTCTCAAAAAAAAAAAAAAAAAAAAAAAATTGGGATAATGTTTTATATAAAGTGAGGTGATTTTTTTTTTTTTTTTTTTTTTTTTTTAGTATACTGTGAACATTTGCCCTTATTAAATATTCTGGGCCAGGCACAGTGGCTCATGCCTGTAATCCCAGCATGTTGAGAAGCCGAGGCGGGTAGATCACAAAGTTAAGAGATCAAGACCATTCTGGCCAACATGGTAAGACCCTGTCTCTACTAAAAATACAAAAAATTAGCTGGGTGTGGTGGCCTGCGCCTGTAGTCCCATCTACTCAGGAGGCTGAGGCAGGAGAATCACTTGAACCTGCCAGGTGGAAATTGCACTGAGCTGAGATCACACCACTGCACTCCAGCCTGGTGACAAAGCAAGACTCCGTCTCAAAAATAATAATAATTAAAAAAAAAATTCTGATACATCATTTTTAATGGCAAATGTTCTGTTACGTAGATCTTATATTTTTAACCAGTGTCCAATTGTTGATAGTATTCAATTGTTTATGGCTTTAAATAGCACTTTGAACATTCTTAAAAATCTTACATTTTTTTGCTTTTTTATTTTTTTTGAGACAAAGACTTGCTCTGTCATGCTGGCTAGAGTGCAGTGGCGTGATCTTGGCTTACTGCAACCTCCACCTCCTGGGTTCCAGCAGTTCTCTTGCCTCAGCCTCCCGAGTAGCTGGGTGGGACTACAGGCTTGTGCCACCATACCTGGCTAATTTTTTTTTTTTTTTTGAGACAGAGTCTCGTTTTGTAGCCAGGTGCCAGGCTGGAGCGCAGTGGCACAGTCTCGGCTCACTGCAACCTCCGCCTCCCAGGTTCAAGCAATTCTCCTGCCTCAGCCTCCCGAGTAGCTGGGACTACAGACGCACGCCACCACACCCAGCTAATTTTTGTATTTTTAGTAGAGATGGGGTTTCACCATGTTGGCCAGGATGGTCTCGATCTCTTGACCTGGTGATCCGCCTGCCTCGGCCTCCCAAAGTGCTGGGATTACAGGCTTGAGCCACCACGCCGGCCAATTTTTGTATTTTTAGTAGAGACTTTCATCATGTTGGCCAGGCTGGTCTCGAACTCCTGACTTCAGGGGATCCGCCTGCCTTGGCCTCCCAAAGTGCTAGGATTACAGGTGTGAGCCACTGTGCCTGGCCTCAAAATAAGTATTTTCAGATACCAATTATTATTTTGACTAAGTTTTCTATTTGTTTTTTTAATTGCTGCATAACAATTAGATTAAGTTTTTAAAGTGAGGATCATTGGGTCAGAGCCTTGTATGTTTTTAAAGCTTTTAATAATACCGTTTTTCATTTTTTTCCTTCAGTAGAATTGTTCTCAGTTTCACTCGGTAGTTACTATTCTTCATTAAATGATGGCTAATTCCTTTGTAATAAATTTGGTCTTTCTTGACATCTTGCTGTTTACATCTATTAATTACATTTTTAATTCTGGATTATAAATTACCATGTGAAAGAGTTTTTCCAAATTCTTGAAGCTCCTCTTCAGTCTTGAAGCTTCTCTTCCGCCTTTGCTTATTTAAATGTGATATTCCCCATCAGCCAACTCACTTTGAGGAAGAACATTTTCAGAGGTCCTCTTGATTGTGTCTCTTGTGCTGCAGAATACATTATAGAGCTCCCTACCTAAAGGAGAGATGTGTTTTTTTTCTGGAATCAAGGTGACTTTCCAGTGATAAATACAACCTTTGGTGCTTCAGTGCTGTGAAGTTGCCTTTTCCTTCTAGCTGCCATTTTTGCTTTTTTTTTTTTTTTTTTTTTTGATCCAAGACAGGTTTAATTTTATTTTCTGTTTCTCCTTTTAGGGAAGTTCCCAAGTCATTTACCATTTATTCGACTGTAGCTTTGTCTGGCTTAGACTCATTATTGAGTCAAAACCAAACCAATTATGGTAAGGGAGGTCTTTAAATCAAGGTAGGAAACACTGTAGAATGAGTAAGGTGTATAAATCTAGGGTTATCAACTTAAGAAATTCAAATTTTTAAGAAAACAGTGTATTTGGTTTTCACATCTCTTCATATTTATAGCATGGATTCCCTTTTTACTACGAATATTTTTTTATAATTTAATTTTTAGAAAACATTTATTGAAATATAATTTACACACCAAGCTGTTCACTTAAATTGTATGGCTCATATAGTTTTTAGCATAATCACAACCATCACCATAACCACTTTAAAAACAACAAAAAGCCCCATAACTATTCTCTTAGCAGTCTTAGATTTGACTATTCTGGACATTTCATATAAATGGAATCTTATAATATGTGGTCCTTTGTGACTGACTTCTGTCACCCAGCATAAAGTTTTCAAGGCTCATCTATGTTGTGACATAGAGCTATCTGTGATTCATTTTTTATTGCTGAATAATATTCCATTGTATGGATCTTCTGCATTTTGTTTATCAATTCATCAGTTGATAGATAATTTGAGCTCTGGTTTACTTTTGGATTTTCAAAAATACTCAGAACTTTAAAATTGTTTTATACTTTTATGGGTTTTACAAAGGTGCTAATTTATGCTTTGCATGGCTAAGTTTGGTGTTTCTGTGGGACAGACAGTAGTTGGCTATATTTCTTCGAAGGTGAGAGATAGATCTACTAGGCTTAGACCAACTATTGGGAGTACTGAGCACATGGATGGTAAATGAGGCCACAGGAGTGAATAGGATTGCCCAGAGTATGTATAAAGGATAAGAAGGAAAAGGGCCTAGGAAAGAGCCCTGAAGAATAATAGTGTTTAAGTGTGATTTGCACTCCCACACCATTATGAAGTGGTATCTGTAACATTTAAATGCATTTACTCTTTGTCTTATATAGCAGTTCACTTCTAGAAATTTATTGTACAGATAAATAGTCTCACAGTTGGGCAGATATTTACGTTAATTGCGTGTATTTTCACAGAATCAGTCTAAAAGGGGAAGAACCCTCCCACATGTTTAGGACTTTTAATACCTGTTAGTCACTTTATTTTTAAATGAAAGGAATATATACTTATTGCACAAATAAATCATAAACGCAAGGAAGGGAAAAGAAAGAAAATAAGATCAGCCGGGCACCATGGCTCACGCCTGGAATCCTAACACTTTGGGAGGCCAAGGCGGGGTAGATCACAGGTCAAGGAGTTTGAGACCAGCCTGGCCAGCATGGTGAAACCCTGTCTCTACCAAAAAAAAAAAAAAAAAAAAAAAAAAAAATTAGGCATGGTGGCACATGCCTGTAATCCCAGCTACTCAGGAGGCTGAGGCAGGAGAACTGCTTGAACCCGGGAAGCAGAGGTTGCAGTAAGCTGAGATTGCGCCACTGCACTCCAGCCTGGGCAACAGAGTGAGACTGTCTCTCAATAAAATAAATAAGATCATCTGGCCAGGCACAGTGGCTCACACCTGTAATCCCAGCACTCTGGGAGGCTGAGGCGGGTGGATCACCTGAGGTCGGGAGTTCGAGACCAGCCTGGCCAACACGGCAAAACTCTTTCTCTACTAAAAATACAAAAATTAGCTGGATGTGGTTGTGCATGCCTGTGATCCCAGCTATTCGGGAGACTGAGGCAGGAGAATCACTTGAACCTCGGAGGCGGAGGTTGCAGTGAGCCGAAATTGCACCACTGCACTCCATCCTGGGCAACAGACCAAGACTCCGTCTCAAAAAAAAAAAAAAATGCCAGGTGTGGTGGCCCACGCCTATAATCCCAGTACTTTGGGAGGCCAAGGCGGGTGGATCACCTGAGATTAGGAGTTTCAGACCAGCCTGGCCAATGTGGCAAAACCCTGACTCTACTAAAAATGCAGAAATTAGCTGGGCGTGGTGGCAGGTGCCTGTAATCCCAGCTACATGGGAGACTGTGGCAGGAGAATCGCTTGAACCTGGGAGGTGGAGGTTGCAGTAAGTCGAGATTTGCACCATTGCATTGCTCTCCAGCCTGCGCAACAAGAGTGAAACTGTCTCAAAAAATAAAGGAAGATCATCCCTCATCCTACTAGTATATCCACTACTTATATTTTGACATTAAGTCTTACAGATGTTTTTGTGACTACATATACTTTAAATGAAAATATTTATATAAAACTTCTTTTTTTTTGGAGACGGAGTTTCGCTCTTGTTACCCAGGCTGGAGTGCAATGGCGCGATCTCGGCTCACCGCAGCCTCAGCCTCCTGAGTAGCCGGGATTACAGGCACGCGCCACCATGCCCGGCTAATTTTTTGTATTTTTAGTAGAGATGGGGTTTCACCACGTTGACCAGGATGGTCTCGATCTCTTGACCTCGTGATCCACCCGCCTCGGCCTCCCAAAGTGCTGGAATTACAGGCACAAGCCACTGCGTCTGGTCTTTCACTCTTATAAATAGTATTATAGTGAACATCCTGTAAGTCAATCTTTGTGCATGTCCACATTTATTTCCTTAATTTCTAGGAGTGTAATTGCTATGTCAAAAATAAGCAGTTTTTTAAAAGCTTTAAGAATATTTAAAAATATGGAATTTAAACAGATTGTTAAATGATATGTGTTGAAGAAATTTAACTCAAAGCCTATTGATCATAAGGTGCTGTCTTAGTTCATTTTCTGCTACAACAGAATAGCAGGGACTGATAATTTATAAACAATAGTAGTTTGTTTGGCTCATGGTTCTGGAGACTGGGAAGTCCAAGAGTGTGGCACTGGCACCTAAGCAAGGTCCTTGGTGCTGTGACATTCCATGGTGGAAGGCAGGCAGGTGAGCACACAAGACAGAGAGAAGAAATGGAGCCAAACTCATCCTTTTATCTGGAGCCCACTCCTGCCATAATTAATCCATTCATTGAGAGCAGAGCCCTCATGACCTAAGCACTTCTTAAAGGTCCCACTTCTCAACACTGTTTAATGGCAATTAAATTTCAACATGAGTTTTGGAGGGAACATTCAAACCACAGCAGGTGCAAAATAAGAGACCGTAGTTTTAAGACAGGTTTTCCTGTGATATACAAGAGTTTAGTACCTAATATTTAAAACTTATAAGCCAAGCATTCTGTTTGTTATAAAGATTTCTCTTAACTGTTAGATATGACAAAGTGAATGTGTAACCAATTTTAATGTTGTCTTTGCAGTGTATGCTGATGGTAGCATATGTTTAGATATCCTTCAGAACCGATGGAGTCCAACATATGATGTATCTTCTATCTTAACATCAATTCAGGTAGGTGTATGTTAGGATGTATTATAATTTGTCAGTATTCTGTAGGATACAGTCAGCTCCTTTAGGAGCACTCTAACCTCGTTAGCACCCAGGTAACCATGGCAGAGCTTGGACAAGAATCCATGATTTTCAGCTAACTTCTCTTTCAGTATGCCTACATGGGATCCAGACCACAGTCTCTTTCCTAATTGTATAAGTTACATGCTCTCACATGTCAAACTTAGTTTGTGCCTCTGAAGCATAGCCAAGGGTTGTGGAAAAGAGAAAATTGCTTGGAAAAACCATAGGGACCTAAAGAAACTGCCAGGTGCAGATAAGCATTGAGTATGTTACTCCATCAAAGAAATTCTGTTTTAAAAAAAGAAAGGAGCCGGGCGCGGTGGCTCAAGCCTATAATCCCAGCACTTTGGGAGGCCGAGGCGGGTGGATCACGAGGTCAAGAGATCGAGACCATCCTGGTCAACAAGGTGAAACCCCATCTCTACTAAAAATACAAAAAATTAGCTGGGCATGGTGGTGCATGCCTGTAATCCCAGCTACTCAGGAGGCTGAGGCAGGAGAATTGCCTGAACCCAGGAGGCGGAGGTTGCAGTGAGCTGAGATCGCGCCACTGCACTCCAGCCTGGGTAACAGGAGCGAAACTCCATCTCAAAAAAAAAAAAAAGAAAAGAAAGGAAAAGTAATGTAACCATTTGCCAAAGCAGTCTGGCAGAATATTTCAGAATAGATTTTTGAATGAAAATTTAGGAGGGATGGAGTGAGGGGTGTTTTAGTTTTGTGGATTTGAGAGGAGCAGAAATAATATGTTGACTTGTGATGTTCCTTTTAAAGTTTTTTCTATCACACTTCTTTCATTCTGGTCATCTTTTTTTTCTCCCTTCTTTTTTTGAGATGGTGTCTTGCTCTGTCGCCCAGGCTGGAGTGTAGTGGCTTTATCTCGGCTCACTGCAACCTCCACTTCCCAGGTTCAAGTGAATCTCTTGCCTCAGCCTCCCGAGTAGCTGGACTATAGGCGCGTGCCATGATGCGTGGCTGAGTTTTTGTATTTTTAGTAAGACGGGCTTCCACTGTGTTAGCCAGGATGGTCTTGACTTCCCAAACTGTTATGATTATAGGCATGAGCCACCTAGCCTGGCCAATTCTGGTCATCCTGTAAGCATTGTTTTTCAACCTTCCTATCTCATTCCCTTCCTGCTAAATGTATATGTTTTGTTGATGAAAGGAAACAAGACTTTATCCCCCAACTTTTACTGTCAGACATTTGCAAAGTAACTGCAGTAATAGAGTTTAATCTTGGACAGTGTTACTTACTGTGAGATTTATTGGTAGTATATGTTAACCAAATTAAGCTGTTCAGTTCCTTGGTTTAATGAGAAAGTCTCAATATGCTTAAGAATATTCTTTTTCTGATTTCTTTGAAATTATAGGGTTTTTTTTCTTCTTTGTTTTTCTTTTTTTGAAACAGAGTTCTGCTCTCGTTGCCTAGGCTGGAGTGCAGTGGCGCAATCCTGGCTCATTGCAACCTCCACCTCCCAGGTTCAAGCAGTTTTCCTGCCTCAGACTCCCTAGTAGGTGGGATTACAAGCATATGCCACCACGCCCGGTTAATTTTGTGTTTGTAGTAGAGATGGGGTTTCTCCATGTTGGTCAGGCTGGTCTTGAACTCCCGACCTCAGGTGATCCACTCACCTCAGCCTCCCAAAGTGCTGGAATTACAGGCATGAGCCACTGCACCCCACCTCTTTTTCTTTTTTAATAGGAATAGGGTATCCTGTGTTACCCAGGCTGGTCTTGAACTGTGAGGCTCAAGGGTTCCTCCTGTCTCAGCCTCCCAAAGTGTTAGGATTATAGGTGTGAGCCACTGTACCCAGCTGAAATTAATTATAGGCCTTAAGGCAATTGAGAACTTTGTTTCAGAAGCTTAAGTTCCTTAGCAGCAAGAAACCTCATAGTATTTATAAAACCATTTCTAAAAGTATTTAGACCAAAAATTATATGACATATTGATCTCCAAAGTAATTTGTTTCATATAACTGCTCTGTAATATATTCCATATCTGACCCCTGTTAGTATAAAGAATAACTGTGCAAATCTGTTTTTTCCTCTCTTTTCTCCTAGTCTCTGCTGGATGAACCGAATCCTAACAGTCCAGCCAATAGCCAGGCAGCACAGCTTTATCAGGAAAACAAACGAGAATATGAGAAAAGAGTTTCGGCCATTGTTGAACAAAGCTGGAATGATTCATAATAGACAACTGGTCTGTTAATCTTTTTCATCATTGTTGTGTATAATTTACCTCTCAGTAGAAAGGCTAACAAATTTTAAGTGCCACAGGTTTTAAGGATTCTGCAGAAAAAGAAAAATGTCCTTCAGTTTAGAACCTACAAAAGCTTGTGTATCTTGATTAATGTACTTTTTATTGCATGGTGTGAACTAAGTTATTGCTGCATAAATTTGTAATATATCCTGTTTGTATTTTTTTCCAAGTGTATAATGTTGGTGTGGAGTTTTCATGACAGAATATACACATTTTGTAAATCTGTACTTTTTTCAAATATCGAATGCCTTATTTTTGAATTCTTTAGATTTTTAAATTGGAGAAAAGCACTTAAAGTTTTTTATATATGAATATTACATGTAAAGCTGTTAAAATACATAACTTCAGTGCAAGAGACTTTGTCACTTATTTCCTTATGTGCGTAGGAGGGGTTAATAAGTCTCTAGCTCTCCATCAACTGATAGTTTCATTTACAGTTTCAAAAGAACATTCTTCTGTTTTATCAAGGATGTCTTCAAATTGGATTCTAAATAGCAATTATAATGTCCAACTTTCTTTTGAATGTACCTATATTAGTTTCAATTGAATAATTCTATACATAACTGGTTTGATTCTGTCCAACTCTGTTACAGTTTCTTCATGCATTACTTACTGTTAAACTGTACCTTTTGAAATTTCACAGTTGGCACCTCTACCATGAGCAGAGAACTGATGCGACTTGTTTTGCTGCTTGGTAGCACTTTAAAAGGTTTTTGTGAGGCCGGGCACGGAGGCTAACGCCTGTAATCCCAGCGCTTTGGGAGGCCGAGGCGGGTGGATCACCTGAGGTCAAGAGTTTGAGACCATCCTGGCTAACATGGTGAAACCCCATCTCTACTAAAAAAAATACAAAAAATTAGCTGGGCATGGTCTCACATGCCTGTAGTTCCAGCTACTTGGGAGGTTGAGGCAGGAGAATCGCTTGAACCTGGGATGCAGAGGTTGCAGTCACCCAAGATTGCGCTACTGCACTCCACCCTGGGTTACAGAGTGAGACTCCATCTCAAAAACAAAATTTAAAAAAGGTTTTTGATTAAGGAAGAAAGTAAAGCCATAAACATTTGCCAGAAATTCATACCCCCCAGTATTAGCAATGAATTGGTTCCATTGGTTTAAGAAAGGCACATATTTGGAGGGAAATCTTGGTGTAACTTAAATATTTGAAAATTACCTTTAATGCAATGCATATCTGTTTATTCTGGGAAATGTTTTAACGCCAGGGCCTGCTGAGTTGCTGCTGCTTGTGGAGATTTTTTTTTTTTTTAATCTCCTGAGTTGTAAAAGTTGTACTGCATCTTAGTTTACTGGTTAAATTTAAAACACAGTATTGTAGAAAGCTAATACAAAACTATCCTATGCCTTCAAATAGTATAGAAAATGGAAAATATACAAGTAAATTCTGTTGAACCACCTGTGTAGTCTCTCTAGTAGTTAAAACAGCTATTTCAGTAACCTCAAGAGTTTCTTGTCATATCCATAAGATTGAGTTACAGTATGGCAATATCTGCAGCTTCTATTCATTATGCAAAGTTTAACATTTGAATGGATAAATGCTTATAGGTCAGGCCAGGTGGCTCCCACTTGTAATCCCAGCACTTTGGGAGGCCATGGCGGGAGGATCACTTGAGGCCAGGAGTTCAAGGCCAGCCAAGGCAACCTAATAAGACCTTGTCTCTACTTAAAAAAATTTTTTTTAATTACTTGGGCATAATGGCACTTGCCTGTAGTCCCAGCTACTCAGGAGGCTGAGGCGGTAGGATAGCTTGTGCCTAGGAGGTTGAGGCTGCAGTGAGCTGTGATCATGCCATTGCACTCCAGCCTGGGTGACAGAGTAATAGCCTGTCTTTAAAAATAAAAGGTATTACTTGGCAAATTCTGGGGTAAGTGTATGATCTGAGGGAACTCTGATACAAATGGTAATTCATAACTGGAATCAGGGCTCCCAAAAAGATGCTTTTTGTGGTGCTTTTGTAGTTTAGCTCCAAAACAAATTATGGACATTCACTCCAGTAACTCCTAGATCATGCAGTAGCTATGAAGGTCTGCCCTCTTTTTTTATTTTTATTTATTTTTTATTTTTTTTTGTGACGGAGTTTCGCTCTTGTTGCCCAGGCTGGAGTGCAATGGCGCGATCTCAGCTCACCGCTACCTCCGCCTCCTGGGTTCAGGCAATTCTCCTGCCTCAGCCTCCCGAGTAGCTGGGATTACAGGCATGCACCACCATGCCCAGCTAATGTTTTGTATTTTTAGTAGAGATGGGGTTTCACCATGTTGACCAGGATGGTCTCGATCTCTTGACCTCGTGATCCACCCGCCTCGGCCTCCCAAAGTGCTGGGATTACAGGCGTGAGCCACCGCGCCCGGCCTTATTTTTATTTTTTAAAAAGCTAGGTGGCTTTTTTTATTTTAACATTTTATTTATTTATTTATTTTGAGACGGAGTCATGCTTTGTCACCAGGCTAGAGTGCAGTGGCACAATCTCGGCTCACTGCAGCCTCCGCTTCCTGGGTTCAAGCAATTCTTCCACTTCAGCCTCCCGAGTAGCTTGGACCACAGGCGCATGCTACCACGCCCGGCTAATTTTTTTTATATTTTTAGTAGAGTCGGGGTTTCACCGTGTTGGCCAGGATGGTCTCAATCTCTTGACCTCGTGAGCCAACCGCCTTGGCCTCCCAAAGTGCTGGGATTATAGGCGTGAGCCACCGCACCCGGCCTAGGGTCTGCCCTCTTATTTCATTAAATGCTATCTGGTTATTACTTCAACATCCATTTTTATCTTTAATCTGTTTTTGCCTTTCCAGTTTAAAAAGGAATATTTCAAGTATTGGTAGATACTTGAAATAAACAAGTTACATGTTACTTTGCAGGGAGGTCAGTGAGTTCTAACTCCAAAATTCGACACATACATAAAACTCAGCATCCACATACGTTTTGGAGAAAATCCTTAAGAAGGTTCAATCTATACGTAACTCCTCACTTTTTTCTTCAGCCTTGGAACAGATTCCTGTTTCTTTGGTTAGGTACCAGATATAAATCTTCGATTTACAAAATTGTGTTATACAAAAAGTCTTTAAACTCTAGGTCAGTTTCATAAGTGTATGGTAGGGCAAGAAGCTAGTACTAATTTATGTTGGTACAAAGTTATATTGATGGTTTCATGTTAAAGTTTACATGCATGTGTGATACAATTCCCTGTAATAATACCCCTAGCAGAGAATAATCTGTGAAAGGCACTATTCTAAGCACTTTTAACACATATTATTTCATTTCAGATTCACAGTAATCTCAGATTACAGTAATCTGTAATCTCAGCACTTTGGCAGGCCAAGGCAGGTGGATCACGTGAGGTCAGAGGTTCAGTACTAGCCTGGCCAACATGGTGAAACCCTCCAGAAATGTATCATCTATTAAGATATATTTTAAGAGGTTGAGATTGGTTGTAGAAATTCTGCAGAACTTCAACATTCATCTCAATTTGTGGAAATACTTTAATTGATTTAGTTTTATACAGGCTTGTAACTACTCCAATGAAAAGGTTTCCTGTTTTTTGAGATAGGGTCTTGCTCTGTTTCCCAGGCTGGACTGCAGTGGCTCCAGGCAGTTCACTGCAGTCTTGACCTCCCAGGCTTAAGCAGTCCTCCCACCTTAACCTGAGTAGCTAAGACTATACAGGTACATGCTACCACACCTGGCTAATTTTTTTTACTTTTGTAGAGACGATGTCTATGTTGGCCAGGCTTGTCTCAGAGTCCTGGGCTCAAGTGATCATCCTGCCTCAACCTCCTAAAGTGCTGGGATTACAGGCATGAGCCACTGCACTTAGCCCAAAGGGTTTTCTTGACTACCATTTTCCACTGACTTTAGGAACACTTTCTGGTTTCTGTATAAAGGACTAACTTAACCAATAAGCCACCTTTTTCCCCTTCCCAGAAATATCCTTGAGTCTGTAGGATTTCTCCCCTCCACCTCCCCCGCCAAGTTTCATTAACATGAATAACTTTGGAACTAATCTAAATTCACACTCATGTAGGTGGAAGATAGGGGAGAAGTAAGTTATTAAAGGTGTGGTATTAGTCTGTTTAATGCTCATTAAACAACATTAACTGCCTACTTACTCATTTAGTACTCTTTAAGAGAGAACCCTGAGGATCCATAGTGTACTGATTCAGAGTTATGTCTAAGGTGTTTCATATCTCAATTCTCCCAGGTTTTAGGAGGTAGGGATCAAATTTTTGAGTCTTGATGGTGTTTATGACAATTTCTTTTCCATTGTATTCAACAACGCAGAGTTCAAGTGGAATCTGAGTTATGTGAGAATCATGTATTTAAGTAGAAAAGTGAATAGTTGGAAAGTTGTTAAAGTTAAGTGAATTTATCTATAGGACAGGGGCCTTATGTCAAGATGATAGCTCTATTACTTTAGTTCCCATCTGGTTAGTGGGGAATGAACTGTTAGCAGTTGGGGAAAAGATTAGTTATCAGTCATTCTAGTACAGATATTAGAAACAAAGACATTAGAAACTAAATTTTATTGTTGAAAGGACTTCTTTATCATTTGAACAAAGAAGACACAATTAAATGTGTACTGTTTTTCCTTCAATGAATTTTCCTCACCATCACTACAGCTTTTTAAAACAATTCTGTTAGCTGGACGTGGTGGCTCATGCCTGTAAACCTAGCACTTTGGGAGGCCAAGGCAAGCAGATCACAAGGTTAGGAGATTGAAACCATCCTGGCTATGGTGAAACCCCGTCTCTACTAAAATACAAAAAATTAGCCAGGTGTGGTGGCAGGTGCCTTTAGTCCCAGCTACTCAGGAGGCTGAGGCAGGGGAATCACTTGAACCTGGGAGACAGAGGTTGCAGTGAGCCAAGATAATGCCACTGCACTCCAGCCTGGTGACAGAACAAGACTCCATCTCAAACAAACAATTTTGTAAGAAATGCCTTGAGGTTTCAGTGCTTCTTGTGTTCACAGGATGGCCTAGGAATTTTTAGTTGAGCCAAAAAGATGAATGAGCTGTGCCCATTACAAACCTTGTTGGCTGGCTGTCTGCTCCACAGCTCAACATTAGTTCCTTGATGGCTGAAGTCAGGAATCCTGGAAGAACTTGAGCTCCAAAGGTCTCTTTGGCATATAGAAGATT